TTGCAATTATTAAGAATATATAGTATTTTTAGAATTAATATTATAATTTTATTTACAAACAAAAACAATTATTATATTCAATTATTTTAATAATATTATTTTAATTCTGATTATATATAATATATTTACATATGTTATTTATAACATATTTATTAAAATCTTGTAAATAATATTGTTTAAAAAATCTTATTTTAATAAAAGTTAACTTATTAATACTTATTCTTATTTTTTATATCGCATTTTATGTTATATTTTGAAATAAAATAATATATAAATAATAATTTATCTAATTTCTATTTTCTTAAAAATAATTAATTTTCTTAAAACTTTATTATTTAAAAATTATATAATAAAATAATGTTATATTGAGTATAATGTGATGCATTAATATTATTAAATTATTTAAGAATTTTTTAAAAACTTTTCTGCAATTCGCTTCTTTTTTCTTCATTAAAATTTTATATTATTTATCTCATTCTTTATTTATAATTTACGAATGAAAAAATTTAATTTTAAAATTAAAATTTTATAAGAAATGATTCCACGTAATTAAAATTAGATTACTTGAAACATTATTTATAGAATAATTTAATTTATAATTTTATATAATGTAATTAAAAAATAAAGCTCTTAGTTTATAACTTTATAATTATATTAATATTTATCTTGTTTATATAAACAACATCATAATTTTGATAATTGTATATATTTTATACATATATATTATTATTATATTCAAATTTAATTCCAATTCTCATTAATACTTGAAAATTCAAGTCTATTTAACATAGTTAAAAATATATTCAAAAAAATCTTATGCACGTTTGTTTAATTTGAAACTTTTTTAAGAACGTTTGATTTGAAATTTATATTCTTCAGTCAAAACGAAACCTTATTTATATTATAGAAGTTATAAATTAAATTATTTATATATTCAAGCAATATCGAATTTAATTCCATATTTATTTCATCGATGCTTAAAAAACCAAAGAAGTTTTTGAGAAAATTATTTTTAGGAAACTCTATTGACTGGTTTATTTAAAATTTATTTAAAATTGATGCAATTACGGAATAGAAAGAATCTGGAAAATTATTTAAAAGGAAAGTATGGTTTAAGTGTTCTTTCTAAACTTAATTTGCGTTTATTGTTCCCGATCGATTCTTGGACGAATACGTTGTTCCGCGAACCTTGTTGAGTAATGGCAATTTCCAATAATTCGTTTGAGCTGATGCATTCAAAAGATTGAGAGGAAAATGTATACCTTCGAGGCTAATTAATTTTTCCGAAATTATCCGAAACATTTTATTTCATTCCATCAAGAAAGTAAAAACTCACTCATCGAGGTAAAAATTATTAAATCAAACAAAAATTTACATGATATCGCGTGAGCAGAAAATAATCTGTATATAATTATTTCGAGCCTCACATGAAATCTTATTGTGATCAAATATATTAACGATATCTAATAAGATTTGATTAAATAATACAATGAAATTGTGCTAAAGCAATGTTTTTCAATATTGTTGCACCGTGTTGAAATATAAATATATTAGATATTTCAAATATATCGTGATTTTGTTAAAATTTCGCTAAAATAAAAATAAAAATGATAATTATAACCAATAGTGAATCAATTAGAATTGTTATTAATCATGGAATATTGATTTTATCAATAATAAATAATTGAATCTTTTATTACACTTATAAATATTTTTATATTTAATTAATACATTTAAAAAAATTTGTTAAATAAATAAAAATAAAAATTCTATTATTATTTCAACGAAATAATAATTTTCGTACTAAAAGTTACGACATACTGCAAAATCTTCATTAATTTCAAAATGCATAATTAATCCAAAAAGAAAAGATTAGAAAATACTATGTTAAATGACTTAATAAAAAAAAACAATGTTCAACAAGTTTAAATTTAATTCACAAATTAAACGATCAAATAGAGCATTCAATAAACGACTTGAATGATTAATAAAGCGTGATAATATTTCAATTTTAGTTGCCCAATATATGGTTAAACTTCCGACAGGATTCTATATATCGAATTGAATGGTGAAAAAGCGTAGTCACGCAAAGTGAAAACAAAACTTGCATCTGAAGAATGGAATTATAAGAAGAGAATAAAAATCGCGCGGAACCAACTAAAGGATTGAGCTTTTGAGTAGAGGTAGAAGAGGAAACTACCTCTATCGATAATCGTTTAATCTAGGTCATAGCGGGAGATAGCTTTATCTTTCGTCAAGGATAGACGAAACCGTAGAAATGGAGGTCTCCAGGGCAGAAGGAGGGACAAAGGAGATGGAAGTTTTCCTCGAACGAAACGAGAACTCCGCCAGACAGCCGAGTACGACTCGTTCGATCGATGCGATGTCGCGTAAAATTGTTGGAAAAAAAGGAAGGAAAAGTGAGAAAACTTTGCAACACTTTTGTATCTCGGTGGGAGAAGGAAATTTCTATCTCTCTCTTTTCTCCTGTCCTACGAATTTTTCTTTTTTTTTCCAATGATTGATGGTCTGAAAGTTTGTTAGAAATAGAGAAAGATAGGCAAGGTTGAGAAGAGTACTTTGGATGTGAAGCTTCATTTCGAATGCATCTTCAAGGATGTTGATGGTAAAAGTGGAGGGTCCTTTACGGTCGATTAACTCTTCGCCATTTGCCTTTGTGCTTGGAATAGATCGAAATATTAACCCTTTCGTGGCAAATCGAGTTTGAAGTGATCTTTCAAAAGCTGCAACAGTTTTAGTGCAACAACATATTTGCATTTTTGAAAATCGTTTCAAAACTATGTATATTTCACATTTCACGAATTTAAAATTTTTACCTTTTATATATATATATATATATATATATATATATATATTTATGGCTCGTTTAATAGTTTCATTTAATTAAAAGATGCTGCTACTTCACGTCAGTGACCTTTCATTCTCCTTGGCGAGATTAAATTTAATTAAAAACTTTCCAAGAAATAGAACGTCAGAGTACTCGTTTGTTATACAAAAGTGCTATTTTCTACGCAAGAAATATTTCAAAGTTTAATAATCTTGTAACGTTAAATAACTTGTAACATTAAATAACTTTCAGTAAATATCAGGAATAATAACGAAAGCTCAGTATATCTGCATCGTTATTTATTAAGAAAGAAAAAAAGAAGAAAGAAACTTTTTTATCTTCATTACTTTTCACATTATACATGATGATTAAGTTTGTTAAAAAGTATCGAAGTTCCACTTTATTAGAAATGAATATCTAGAATACATGGCCGTGACCCCACACGTAGCTCTGGTTCGATCTTTGCAGACAATGTTTCCCTTTAAAATCGATTAAACCGGATGTGTTCTTAACGCGCGCGCTCGAGAACTTTGCAGGGTAAACATCAGAATTCATTTATACGATCGATGAAGCATTTTGCTCCACATTCGTCAAGGTTTTGTATCTCTTGTGCGCGGTGCCTCCATAAAAATGCTAATTTTTTCCATTGTACAATGTTATTTTGCCTCTTGAATTCTGTTTCCTGATAAGAGCGGTATTCATAAGAGGTTATGGATGCTTAAGCGCAAGCTATTTCTGCCTTCCTATATCCCTATTAATACGAATTAATAAACATTAGACATAGATATATATATATACATGTTTTCACGATATTTCCTTCTTCTTTCTCCTCTTTATTTTTATCGATATTTCTTGTAATATGAATTGGACGAATGGATTTATGCAAATAATATCTCGAATTTCTTTTGAGATGGAAAGCTTCGATGAAAGAAGAAGACAGTGATCGATATGAATCTTGATGAATTGTGCATTCTGAGTATGAATTCCTCTTATTTACATTACATCTATTTACATTAATTGTTTTTTTTTTAGAAAACATTAAAAAAATTAATGATTTGAAGTTCTGTTCCTTTTTGAAAAATTATTTTTTCCTTTTTACAATAAATTATAAAATTTAGAAATCGAATAAAAATTGAAATACAATTATTTTCTTCAAGGAGATTCATATCTTTCGAGAATCCTTTTTGTCAATCGACATAATTTTCCATCCCTTGTCGAGCACTGATGTCTGAAACTTCAGGTGATTGAATAGATTTCCTTTCGAAAAGGGCTGCGAAGATCTATATAGTAAATGTAAGAAGGTCAATGATCCTTCTTTATGAGATTGTCAGGATATAAGTTCCGTAGCAGGACAGACGGCGCCAAGTTCTGTCTCCTTGCCATTAGGGAAGCCTACATTCTACGTCCAACAACGAACGCACACATAACACTGTTGTAGAGGGAGACAAACACAGACGGGCTTTAACGCATAACACGTGACTGTATGTGCACAGGAGGACGGGTCGTCCACGAATTAAGTTGTTTTTCGAAACTCCCGATCGGGGTTACGTCCTTGGACGCCCGCTGTTCCCATTAGCCCGGGGTGTGCCCCAGATTTTCATCGATGGCACTGTTTATTTTTAGGTTTCTGCAATATCGGAGATAGTCCGCGCGTCAGCAACTATTTCATCTTCGGTTTGGGAAGATTCCATCTATCGACCTCGCTTTCCTTCACTGCTTTACTGCTTACGATTGAAATTTTCCCTTCACGCGTATTGTTTCACGTATATCCGTATATAGTGTCGTCTAATTTCTATTATGATTCATATGTATAATATTGGTATCTCCTTCCCTATGTTGTTTCGATAAAACACGTGGCGTTTGATACGATTTGAATTTCGCGTCACCTCGAGCGCTGTGACGCGCATGCGCTTTAACTGTCAGCGTGACATTTCGCGAAAGAGTATAACGAAGTGAATTCGATATTCGTGAATGAATGATGTGGAAAAGTGGTGAAATATTGCATGAAGAGACTCATAGATATTTCAGAAAATATATGAAATATTTGTATCGGGTTATTTTAAACTTTAGTTGACAGAAGAATGTGAGGTTATATGTATGTATAAGAACAATTTGTATTTTATTTACGATATGGAATATTTTTTATTTTCAGCTGAATGAGGCTCATGGAACCCTTGGGTGTTGCCCCGGATGTGGTGGAGACGGGCGCATTGAAAAAATGGTCCGACTTTCCCGTCCAACATCGATTCACAGATTACTCCAATTCTATTGGAGAACCAACTCATCATACCATAAGTCCTTTTCCATGTCAACCAACGCTTAACAACAAGCTTGCGTTATGGTAAGCTATAAAATAACTTACAAAGGTTTATTTAATTTACAGAAAATTATAAATATTATTATTTTTTAGGACTGGGGATATTTCTATTTTACAAGTGGATGCAGTAGTAAATTCCACAAATGAAACAATGGATGATAATAGTCCTATGTGCCAAAGAATATTTGTTCGAGCTGGATCAGCACTTAAGATGGAAATATTTAATGAAATCAAAGGTATTGTTTATAAAGTAGAAAATAAAATTGAAAATAAAATAATTATATCAATATTGAATTGTGTAATGTAAATAATTATCTACAGAATGCAAAACTGGTGAAGTAAGAGTAACACAAGCTCATGGTTTACCAGCACGCTTTATTATTCATACTGTAGGACCAGTATACAATGTAAAGTATCAAACAGCAGCTCAAAATACATTACATTGCTGCTATAGGTAAATTTTATAATAAATAATATAAAGCGTATTTAAATATATATATATAAAAATACTACTCATGTTTTTGTATAGAAATGTTTTACAAAAAGCACGAGAGCTTGGTTTACGCACGATTGCGCTACCAGTAATTAATTCTGTACGAAGAAATTATCCTCCCGATGCGGGAGCACATATTGCACTGAGTAAGTGTAAATTAATTAAATTAATATTATTTTTAAATTTATTAAGTATACGATAATAAATCTTTCCCCAATTATATTTCATTATAATAGGAACAATAAGAAGATTTCTGGAGCAATATGGCGATTCTGTTACATGTATTGTACTTGTATTGGAACCGTGTGATCTTGGAATTTACGAAGTTCTTCTTCCACTCTATTTCCCAAGAAATTTAGCAGAGCAAGATAACGCGTGTTGGCAACTACCGAACGATATAGGTGGAACGGATGGAGAACCTTTACTTCCTGATCGACAAATTAGAATTATCGATAATCCTCAACATGCTTTACATGGTAACAACGATGTATTAGAAATAATATATTTTAATTAAAAAAAAAGTTATGCGCTACAATATTACGTTTATTTGTTATAGGTGATGAAAGTGTAGAACTATCTGCGCAATTAGAAACATCCGTGAATATTGGTGAACATGCGTTTGCACAAATGCAGGGTGATTTAGATCGACAAAGACTTCTTGGAGAAAGGCCACCTGCCGATCCACTTGCAGATATCATGCTGAAACAAATGCAACAGAAAGAAAGGTATGATTAAAAATATTTTTTGAATTAACTCTTATTGAATGTAGTGTAGCAACATAACAATTGAACTCTAACATAACAATTGAAGAATATATAACAAATCGATCATTTGTCCAATTTTATAATAAAATCTATCGCAGTTTTAATTAGTTTTTTGTATATAATATAATTATAGATATTTGTGTGAAAGTAGTGTATAACGAATATTTGTTAAAAAAAATTTCTTTTATTGAAAAAAAAAATGTGTCGAACATACGTATTAGAAGTGGAGGATGTAAATAGGTATGTAAAATCATCGGACTATATAAATATTTGCTCTCATTGTACAGTGTCCGTTTTAATTTAATTAAGGACCTTAATATATTGAATAACAATGATCAATATAAACATAAATAAATAATATACAAATATAATTCATATGAAGTAATATAAATACGCCACTCTTCATATAAAATCCAAAAAAAATAAAATCTAAATCTAACAATCTATTGACAAATGTACAAAACATTCCGATAAAGATTAAAATTTTTCATATCGAAATGTTTTCATATAAAATATTAAAATTAACTTAATTCTTAATATTATTAACTTAATTCTAAAATATTCAACATTATATATTCTTAGTATAAAGAATTAGTATAAAGAAGTACTAACTTTTCATTTAATTTTCCCAAAATATAATAAAACCTATAATTTCATTCATTGAATGTTACAAATATAATTTTGCATAAAATTCACATTTTATATGCTTTTATATATCATGATGCTATTTTTGACTATTTTAACTAGAAACGTAATATATTACTATACTACTTTCATATATAAATATTTGTAAATCTTTCATATATAAATAATTATACTTTTTTATTGTACTGAATCTTGATTTATTAATATTTAATGTTTTATTAATTATATATCATTGGTCGATAAAAAGAAGAATAAAATTGAATTATTTTAATGCTTGAGAATAATTCCAATGAAGATTTTTAACATTTAAAAAATATATTTTCTCTAATTTTTAAAAATAATAAATGTGTATCTTCTTATTTTTTATTTATTAACATAATGATAAGATGTTTCAAAAAGACAAAATTTCTTACTTATCGAATGCAGGTTTCTTCAATATCAACTATTGCTATGAATGTTTTATTCAATAATTATATTATATTATATTATCGTTGATAAAACAAATCAATTTTTTAAAAGTTATTATTTGTAGAAATAATTCATACTTATTACATATAATTATAATTTTCGATGTATTTGATTATCCAATTCTTTAATTGCACATATATAGATACATAATATGATTTAAATACTTTTTCAACTTAAACAATATGCTATTTATTTTATTAATTATTCTACATATTTATATTTTTTCTCTATATTAATATAAGAACATACATGCATAATCCAAAATTAAATAATTGTTTTATTAATTAATTTTATAGATTAGATTATTGTATGATTATAATGATAATTAAAAGTGAGATATCGATTTTCTATTTATTTATCAATGGAATTCTTTTTATTTATTACTAAAAGAAAAACTACCTTTATATAAAAAGCTTTCGTCAATAATATCGTTGATAGAAACGGCCTCGTAACCTTTCTACGTTGCAAGCTCGTTTATGTATCTCGAAATAGCATGATACGCATAAAACATATTCGATGTCTATGAATATTCTAGTAATAATTTATCTAATTTTTTACAAAAGTCATATTTGCATCACCGAAATCATTCAATTATGACAATTCATTAAACAAGATAAATTCTTTGAGATTCTTTTCAAAATCTTAATGCTATTTTATTGCAATAAAATCTTATGAATACAAAATTAAATTAAAAATCTAGAGTTTTGGAATTTTGGTAGAAACAAGATTCTACAATTTATTGCAATTTCCTTTAGAATGAATAGAACATTAATAGAATCTATTTTTTTTTTTATTATATTTTATATTATATTTTATATTTTATTTATATATTTTTATAAAATTAGATAAATCAAATAATATATTTGATTTTCATATCAAATCAATAATATTTAATTTTAAGATGAAAAATGATGCTTATATAATAATTATTCATTTTTTCTTTTTTCTTTCCATTATTTTTACAAAAAGAAAATTCTGTAATCCATAATTTTCAAGATGTTAATCCTAATATTTTCGAATTCCAAATTTTTATTTTTTTTATCTAATATAAAAATATAAAATACAAAATAATATTATTATAAAATCATTATTATGATAAACAATAAACTTCGTAATTTTTTCTAAAAAATAATATTAATTTGTTAATTATATAATAATATAATAATATAATAATTATATAATAATAATGTTAATAGTGTTAATTAAATTTCTGCAATAATTTAAAATGAACAAATGACGAAATCATTTACGAAGTATTTTCATGATCGTAACCTTGAATCTTTTACTATATATCTCATATTTTCAAAATATTCATGCATCATTCACACGAGATAAATGTTTATTTGATATATATAGTTTACTTAAATCCATCAGCACTGATAAACATTAGTTTAGACATCTGTCAAAGCTAATGTTGGAACATCTGGCGCCTCTCTAACAACGAACTTTCGTGTATTTTTCAAGTGAAATGCAAGATTGCCAAACTATTAAATTTTCTCTTATTCCTTTACTTCCTTATTTTCTAACGTATTTCTAACGTAAAATCATTCATTAATATTTTCTATATTTTTCAATGTAAAATATTATTTCTTGATCTTTTAATCTTCTGTAAATTCTGAGTGATCATTTGATTACGTGAGATTATTTATTATCCTTTCCGCTAATTCAAGGCATGTCTTAAAAGATTAATGATTTCGATAAAGAAATGGTTCAACCGATCATTTTGTTGATGAAACACCTTGGATTCATTATAATTGAGGCCATGGTCTCGTGAAATCTTTAATACAATCAATTGAGAAATCGATCCAAGCCATTATGAAGGTCCTTTTCTATAAAACAGGAATCTTAACTTAAATGAAACATTTATCATAAAAGATAAATGCTTCTTTTTTTATCAATTAAAATTATTATTTAATATAAATTAATTAAATTATTATAAATAAAATATGTATATAGTGTTAATTAAGTCAGATAAGAGCTTATTCTATATGTGAAAATTTTATTTTATATTTCTAACTTATTTCTAACTTATAATAAAATCATACTTATATAAGATATCATATGAAATTAGATAGAGATAACTTTTCATGAAAAAATAAATCAAAAGAATAAAATTTGCTTAGTTTTCGAATGAATCAAAAATTGAATTTTCTTTCAAATTTAAGTGAAAATAGCTAATTTCCGATTACATATGAAACTATTGATATTTTTGTATCAATAGTAAAAATAAATAAAAAATATAAAATAAGTATATTTCATTTAAAAATATTAATTTTCAAGAAAATTTTAAAAATTCAGCAATTATACAAATTAATTATGTTCAAATGTTCAATTTTGATTTTTTCAAAAACAAAAAATAATAAAATTAAATTTATTAAATAATAAAATTATAATTAATTAATATTCAATCAGGAATTAGACAATTTCACTTTAATTTGAAAAATTTTCAAATTTTTTGATTTATTCGAAAACGAAGCGTCAAATGAAAAAATTTTATTCTTTCTTTTTGACTAATTTTTTCAAGAGGAATCATTCTCTGATCTGATGCACTATGATTAATCATATCCTATAACATATTTTCCATTTATTAATAAATATTAATGTTAACTTTATCTTCTATAATTATTAATCAAAATTTTAAAACTTATCATTTCGCGGAGTTTTATAATTCTAATAGTTAAATTTGATTTTCACGACGTTCAATGATATTTATAGATATAACACTGTGTGTGTCAACGCGAATTTATAAAATGTAATAATAGCACAAGTGTATATTCAATATTCGAGGCAACGTAAGCAATGTTTATTATGATCCAAGATAACCTTGAGAAATTCGCAAAATTATGCTTCCTGCTTCCGCAGGAAATTCTAAAATCATGTGTTCTTTATTTGCGCGTTCGAAGAAAGGCCTGATTTATCCGCGTTGCGTGTGCATCGATGATTAATCTTCGCTGTAATTTTCAGTGCAAAAGAAATCGAATGTCGTCCTATTTTCATTTCATTGAAAGTACAAAGTCGAAATAATTGTATTGAAAATCAATAATAGATGAATCGTATTACTTGTGTATACATGTCGTTTTTTCGAATAGAATTTCATTCATGATTTAAATATATATTTCTTTATAAATAAGATATATATATTTAGTAAATACAACTAATTTGTTACTATATTTTATTCATTAAATTATGATATTCACTTAAATAATTGAAAATATATCCTTGAAATTTTTGAAAATAATTATAAAAAAAAATTAAACAATGTACTATATGCTCTTTTTTCACCAACTATATAATGTCTAAATCAATTTTTTAAATCAATATTTATTAAATATTAAATAAAATATTAAATTAAATAATAAATTAGATTAATTCATTGCAATCATTTACAATAAATTATATTTGTAATATCTCAATTAAAATAAGAATATAGTAAAAATAAAGTATAATAAGTTAAATTTGTTCCAAATCTTATATTATCAATGCAAATCATCACATTAGCATCAATTAGTAAAATTAAACTGAACTTGAGAGGAAAAAACAACTTAATAGTCACAGAAGATGACAAATCTTTCAAGCATATTTTATAAAAAAATAAAAAATATTATTTATTTCTTGAATCTTAAAATTTTTTTGAATACAAATTAATCTAACTTGATTTTATTTGATTATAATTCATTTAAATTCTTTCAAATATCATTTGATTATATTTGATCATTAGATATATATTTTCAAAAATTGAAAAAAGAAATGAAATTAGACTTTATTACATCAAAATCATTATTTTTTTTCTTTTTTTTATTAAGAAACTCAAAAATTATCTATTCTTGTTTTAAAAATTATATAAAATC